CAAATTCCCTTTGACTGCAACTGCAGTTTAAATTACAAATATTCAATCAATATAATGGAATATTCTAATTTAGCTTAGCATTTCTAACATTTAATTAAGCTAGTTTTTAAGACTTTTTACTCTTAAGGAAAAAAATTTGCTTAGAAACTGGGGCTTACTCTTATATTCAAAATTTAGTTTGTTTGTTTTTTTAAATTTATAAGCTGTTGGGTTTATATGCAACTTCATACAAATGTTGTATACATTTAAGCACACAACTGTAATATCTGAGAAGGAATCTGTAAAAATGAAATTAAATAATATATTTTGTGAATTGATTTAATTTTTCAAACTTTAAAATTAATATATTTTGTTTCGAAATATATTTTTCTTTGATTTGTTATGAATATTCATATAGAGCTCAGTTGACTGCAATCGAAAATTGTAAATATGTCATATTTTTATATTGTGTGAGCAATAGATTCATTGGAAAATGTGTTTCAAGCACTATATGCTCTTAAAAAACCACTCTATAATGTAATAATATAGAAATAAAATACATAATTTGATGGACTATAAAGAATTTTTGGAATATTTTCTTGATTTTTTTTCATCGACATAGTATCTGACGCAAAACCAATAGTAAGAGAAATTTTTATGTATTGATGAAATACATAGATATTTTTCTTATGAAAGTTCTGCAATTGTATCGTATGATGATCATATGTTAATCGTTCAAGTTTTGTTACGATTATTGAAAAGGGACGGGCTGGGCCTCCTTTTCCCAACTCCCATGATTGCTTTTCATTTTTTTTTTGCTTTAAAGTCGATAAAAAAAATTTTGTTAATAAAATATAAAGTTACTTTAAATTCATGTAAGCAAATTTTTGTTAACATGCTAATCTTAACAAAATAAATGTATACTTAGATTTGAAAAAATAACCTACAGTACGAGAACTTCAGAATGCAGACTGTGCGACACAGTAGAGCAAATGAATACGAAGTAAATTTATTTGTTAACAATACTTAACTGTAACCTTATATCAAGTAACAGTTCGACCAGGAACTCAAGTTCGAACAGGAACAGCTGACAGTTTAACGAATAATAAGTCTCGAACTAACTATCGAATGTTAATTTTTTTTATTTCATCGTATTCTATACATTTTTCTATACACCTTCATAATTTCAAATTTCTAAGTCTTATAGTTTGTGTGCAGCAAAACGAAATGTAATATTAAGTTTAACACCAAAAACTTCTTCGACGGTTCTTAATATTTTTATATAGAGAAAGAATTATTGGAAACTTCAGAACATAATTTTCCTCATGCAGAGGATTGAGAATCGGAGTCCAAACTTACGTTAACGTTAGAATAACGTAAAATTAAGGTGTTGGTGTACCTGTCTCTTTATTTTAGATCTTATTTGCTCGCTTAATATGTGGTACAATATGTATTCATGATATTTCTTTGTACCTCAGTTCAGGTTTTACTTTCAAATTAATTTGTTTGATATTTAACAAATAGATGGTTGCAAGACATTTTTATATGCTCTTAAAACCATCATAAATATCCTATAATGCTTATGAAACATTTCAAAACGTAAATAAATGTGTTTTTTTTATTAATATTATTATTTTGGGTGCCAAATCATTTCTATTTATCAGGGAATTAAAAAAAAAGGTTGAAAAGAATGATATTACTTTTGGAAAGGATCTTTTGCTTTATAAACATTGAAAAAAGCAAAATTGAGTCTCACACTGGCTAATTAATTATAAACCATAATAGATAAATATTTATTGGGCCTCTTTTTGCACGGATAGCAGCCCATTTTTGAGTGGGCATTGATTCTGCGAGCTTCTTTAGCACACTATATGTTCAGAGAATACCATTCATTTGCTGCACTGATTATGAACCTGTAAATTAGATGGAAGAAGAAATTTCTGTCTGGGGCGATTTTCCGATATTCCCCAAGAATTCTCTATTGGGTTAAGATCCTGACTTAGTGGTGGTTATGGAAAGTGTTAGAAGTCAGATTGATGTTCATTGAACCTATTTTCAATTCATCTATCATGGTGCATAGTTGCATTATCACCCTTGAAGTATCCGCCATTTTAATAGTAAAATGCAATTATGCACAATGCAATTGTCCTGCCAACTTATCAAGATATTATCTAGCTCATTGTTTATCCCCGACAAATATTAGGGTAGAACATTTTTACCAGCAGAACACCCCACGCATCATGATACTTCCACCAGACTTGTACACAATACAAACAAGTATAGGTTCTTGGCAAATTTGACATTTTCTCTGACTACAATACAATGCTTAAAGTGTTGTACCCCACCACATAATCCATTTCCAGGCTTCCAGCCCTTAAATGTCCTTGTGTCCTTTGCCGACATCACTGCAAACGATCTCTGGAATTTCGAGAAAAAATTAGAGGTTACCTGACAGGTATCCGACTACTTGTTGCCCTCGTTTACATATTTTTGCTAATAGCTCTTTAGCAGAAATCTGTTTGGAAGAATCTTGACTGAAGGCTTTTGTTTGCTAAAGCATATTAGAGTTCCTTTTATGCCATACAATAGGTCTCAGTAGTAGACGAGTCATGGGTTTGAATCCCCTTGCCATTGAGCAAACCGTAGGAGGTTTTCATTGTTTTCCTCTCCGTGTGACGCAAATGTGGGCTTGTCCCTTCAAAAGCATTATCATTGGGTCAGCTGTTCAACACTGGATATAAAATAAAATAAAACTCACTCACGCAACTCATCTAGACAAGCATTCCATTGAGGATTCATCATCGTCACAAATTTGGCATTCCTTACTTCACCACTTACGTGCATTTTGTAATGTAAGTGTTTTAGTTTATTACTCTCAATTAGGGNATATATATATATTAAACACGTTAGCGAGATCATTTGCGTCGTGTAAAAATGACCCACGAACATTTTTGAAAAATTATTTTTTTCTAGTTATATTAAGGTTTTTGTAACAGGAGTGTTTCTTTTTCTTTTGCCTATTACATTTCATTAAGGGTCTACAGTAAATTACTAACTTTAACTGAAGCTAAAATAAAAATTTGCTTTAATTCTGTAATCAATATTAAAAATTTCACAAAAATGACATGTATTAAGTAAGTTTGTGCCATTAGAGGGGGGTTTTTTATAAATACAATTTTAAAAAATGTCGTGTATTTTTTTTTTCTTTGCAGAAAATATCAAGTCTATTTGTAACGTGAGTCTTGAGGTTTATTACATTCAATTAAGTTCTAACAGTTAAAGAATTTTTAAGAAGAAACTATTCCAAATTTTTAAATACGTCACTCGTAAGACTTGAAATAATTATAATTTACAAGAAATATCTTTTAGTGGAGAATTCATTATTTACTGCAAAAGAGAATACTTAAACTAAGTAATATAAAAACTTTTTAGCTAATCTGATTAGAAATGTTTTTTATACAGATTCTTATTTAAAGTCTCTGCAATAATTTTTGTTGCTTACAGTTTTAAATAAATATCTAAACAGAAGTAGTTACACATCTAATTCCTGTAATTAAAATAGTTAAGAAAGCCACAAATGTCTTAATGAGATTATGTTTTAGATTTTAAAAAATATTAATGAAAGCAGTCTAGATATTAATATTTCAAGCCTTAAAACGAAATATAGTTATAATTGTACATTTACAAAACTTTGAATTGAAAGTTTAATTAGTCGAAGATAAGTCAAACATTTTATTTAAAGAAATAGAAATATATTCAATAATTTCATTACAACCTACTCATTTTCGTAGTTACACAATTACTATTGTTTAAAAGAGGATTAAAACAAAAAGTATATTTAAGCTGTAAAGAAATTTTGGAAAAGTCATTTCCGAATAAATACAAAATGAATAAGAAAAATGCTCCAAAAAGCCTAATGTGCCAAATTACTAAAAATTTTAAATATCTGACAATAATAATGCTGCTCAAACATTTTTGTTTATCGTATACTTTCGTTGGAAATGAAGAACATAATTCGACCTTGTAAAAAGTCATTTAAGAAGCGTAATAATTATGTTGTTATTTATTAAACGTGATCAAAAGTTTTTTAAGTGTGAAGAACATTAAACTATAGCAGTGTGAGCACTGTTTACACAATGCGAAAACTACTGATTAAATTTATCGTAACAAGGTAAGGTAACATAGCAAAACGGAAAACAATTGTGAAAATGAGTTAAAATTATAAGGTTCATTTGTTGTTCTTTCTAATGGCATGTACCCATGGCACTGTACCCACGTACTCGGTGGGTTTCAATGGAGTCGAGGATCGAACCCCATACCCTCCGTACTGGAGTTTCTAACTCTAGGCTACAACGCGCATGCTGATTTGTTATCTCTTCAACTACAGTTTTGTTTGAATTTACGTTTAATATTTATGTGACACGTAATATATCTGGGGGGGAAATATCCCTATTTATAAATATTTTGAATCTGTAACATTCTATAAAAAATATTTTTGTATTGAAATTGTTCATTACTTCATTATATACAATTTATTCATAAATTCACAAAGAGAAAATTATCCAAATATAGCGGTATACATTTTAAAAAAACTCAAAATATTCTTAATAATATAAATTTATTACCTATTTGGGTTAAATCTAAAGCACATTAAAATAAATAATGTAATAGTATTCTTAATTATATAAAATTTTAACCTATTTGGTATAGTTTTAGAGCCGGTTAATTCAAAAATTTGCATATTATTTTTAATCATAAAATATTACCTATTTGCTATAAATTTCGAGATATTTCAATCTAATGGCTTAAATTTGTGGAAAGAATTTTATATTATCCCTTTACAATATCAAAATAAAGTAATAAGTAATCACTATACACATACGCATAAGGTTACCTAGTTGAACACCGATTTAGTAGGGTATAACAAAATAAAATATGAAATACACTAAAATATCATAAGCTCAAATTAAATCGTCGAGATTCTTATGAAATAATCTGAAATAGAACTTTTAATTTTCTAGGTGTCATCGCCCTTAAACTCATGAGCCTCGATGTACCAACTGCAATAATGCTCGGTGAATCAGTCTGGCTCAACTGCACTCTAGATCTAGAATCAGATGAACTCTACTCTGTCAAGTGGTATAAGGACGACGTTGAGTTCTATCGACATCTACCACAAGACAACCCTTCTGGACAAAAATACGACGTTCCTGGGATTTACTTGGACGTAAGTGGAACTCTTTTGTTCCGGGGGGGGGGGAGCATGACAAATGATTTTCTCTGGTATGTGTCTTGCCCTGCTTTCGTTTTGCTTTTTTCGCCTTTCAACCTATAAGACTGAAACACTAGTTGACCTGAAGATCGTTTTCATTCCAATGAGGAGTGACCGAACATCTGCTGATGTCTGGACTAATTTTTCTTCCTTTTATCCTCTCATATGATTCGATTTTTTTACTGTCCGTCAAATGAATACCGGGTAGATGAGCTTCCGGAAAATGACTCGATTCTGTAAAAAATAACTGTCAGGAAAAGTTCTCGAAGAATAGTTTACTGTCTGTTTTATTTTATGTTAGGGATAAACTGTTTTAGATACATTATAGCAATTAGATCGCTCTTTTACTTAGTTTTAGCTTTCAAGAAAACGTGATGGTTTAATTTCAGTTTGGAAGTAAATTATGCCAGTTTTGTTTCCATAAATTACATATCTTGTATGAAGCTATTTCTTTAGAAGTTAATTAAATAATTTCGCAAATTCTTAGATAAAATGCATTAAAAATATATTTTGTTTCGTCCCCTTTAGCTAATAATGAAATTAACTACAATGAATTTATAACTATTCTATACAATGCAGTATTCAACGATACATTTTTTGATTATTTGTACCGAATGTCGTTATATATATATAATATGCGGTGTATCCACACCGATATTTTTTAGTAAATTAGTAGTGAGAACATCATGATTAACGAGTCCAGTTTCGGCATAATATTTTATTTTACTAAACGATGGTGAATTAGCAGTTTAACCCCTCTCCAAAGCGGGAGAGGGGGAACACATATCCCGTCTAAGCTGACGGATTTTATTTAAGCATGATAAACAACAAAAAGCCACGCAAAAACTAGTGCTCTGCGTTTTATAGGATGATTACAAGTTGTAAAGTGGTCAGTCATTATTGCCTTTTTCTGTATTCCTACGCCTCATCAATTTATTTATTACTCAAAGCAAATCGTTTAATCTTTCCTTATATGGAAGTGAAAGATCTTAAAATAACTTCTCTTTTGAAGTATAAATCTAATTATTATTCATTGGCATGTTTTTAGCCTTGAAGTCCCAAAATAGAATTTCTACCCTTATCCTTTACTAAAGATATTT